ACCCCAGGATCTTCATTCATAATGCATTTAAAAAAAATATTTGCTTATTTAAGTAATCTCTACACCCAGTGTGGGGCTTGAACTCATGACCCCGAGACCGAGAGTTGCATGCTTTCCTGACTGAGCCAGCCAGGTGCCCCTGCACTGTTTTTTGTTGTGGGGGGGTGGGGGCGTGGTTGCTCAAATGCCACTCTATTAAGGAAACCTTATTCCATGTATGGGAAATTATTTCTAAACATGTATTTATTGAGATGGCATTTTAGCAAAATGCCTTAATTTGGAAATTAATCCTGAAATTGTTACTAGTGTTTTCCATTAATAAATTTCTATACTTTTTTTAAAAGATTCTTGTTTGATATGCTTCTTATTTTAGCTCCTTTCAGTGAGTAATATATTTGAATAATTTCTTTTTAAAAATTTCACACATTTCTCTCAGGGTGTCTTATAGAATGATTTTTCTTACATCTGTTTCTTGGGTGAACATTTTCTTAACATATGGTATTTTTGACAGAGTCTGCTCTCTTTCCCCAATGTTAATGAAAAGGCTTTATCTTGGAAAAAGTGGCTGTGTCATTTAAGTAAATACCTTTTTGTTTAATAGCAATTTTTTTGGAGTATTCACATGTAATACATATTTGAGAATTTGGAAAATACTGAAATAAAGAAGAAAATAGAAGTTACTCAAAATTCCACCAGAGTTAAGATTTTGGCGTATCTCCTTTCCACATCCACATGTGCTCTCCTCCCACCTCTTCATAGAAATCAGCAACCACAGCAGACCCTTTTGTGTTTAATTAGTACTTTCTGTGGGTATAGCCTTCTGGGAAAAAATTATACTGTATTATTTGTCAATAAGCCATTGCCTCCTGCAAAGAATACACTTATTCTAGATTATTTGTGTGTATGTTAAATAGTGTGACATGTATAGAAATGTTTGCCATGGTGTACGTTGTTAGTATTCTTCTTTTGTTTATTTTTGAGAGAGAGCATGAGCAAGGGAGGGGCAGAGAGAGAGAGGGAGACACAGAATCTGAAGCAGGCTGACAGCTCAGAGCCTGACATGGGGCTCGAACCCACAAACTATTAGATCATTACCTGAACCGAAGTTGGATGCTTAACCAACTGAGCCACCCAAGTGCCCCTTTAATATTCTTTTCATGATGTTATTGGTTACTCAATTTGTCTCAATAACTGTAGATATTGATAACCATTGTTCCTGAAGATACTGTACCTCACCAGTCCTTGGATCACCATTCCAGCTTATTCACAGACTCTAGAATTCACAAATGATTTTAACCTTGTTGTTGGAAGTAGCAGCTTGTAAGACACGGACAAGATGTAATGTGGTTTGATCGCTGTCAGTGTACTGCTATGTCCTTCTCCAAAAAGAGAAAAGTGTAGTCTTATTTTTTCCTTTCATAATTCTCTAGTACGTTGGCTCAGTCCCATACATTTAATAACCTTTTTTTAAAGTTTATTTATTTATTTATTTATTTATTTATTTAGAGAGAGAGAGAGAGAGAGAGAGAGAGAGAGAGAGAGAGAATCCCAAGCAGGCTCTGCAATATCAGTGTGGAGCTTGATGCGGGGTTCAGACTCATGAACCATGAGATCATGACCTGAGCAGAGATCAAGAGTCAGATGCTTAACTGACTGAACCACCCAGGCATCTCTTAATAACCTTTTTAAAGAGAAATTCCTGAGCTTTGCCATCTACTTGAGAATTTGCCAAGTTCCCTTGACATTTTTGGTGCGGCCAAAGATTAAGACATGAAATAGAAGGAGATATGAGAGAGGAGAAAGAAGAATAAATATGGTTGGGATTTGACTCAACTGATGTATCAATAATTATCTATAGGCATTCCCCTATATTTACATATAATGCTTTCTTAAAAATATGCTGAAGTTGAATGTGTAAAAAGTAAACAATAGACTTCACATTTTATTTGAGGTTAGGATGTGGGGAGTACTCAACTAAAAGTAGTTTAAAGTTTCTGTTTATACTTTGCCTTGAGACATATTCTTCGGTGACTTATTTCTAGGGTGTTGTTTGATTCTGTTTTCTTCTTTAACACTTAAGTTATTGAGCTAAATCAAGTAAGTATCCACTTGAGGCTAAATATTTCTGCTTTTGGCTTACCTAATGATTCCTTCTCACCCACCCTAAGCACATTCAACTTACACGCACTGGACTGTAAGCACCATGTTCACTGCCGTATTCTCCAGCACCTAGAATAATACAATGTCTACAGAGGGCACCCCCAAAATATTTATTGAACGAATGTGTGAATTCATCATCTTAATTGTATAAAATTTGAGGCCTACAGTTCTTATTTATATCAGTCCTTTGTTTTGTTGTTTTTACTCACGTAAAATTATAATGGGATAACATACTAAGATATTTAAATATTTTTGTTAAGTACTGTGGTACAAACGTGATACTACTGCTGGATGTGAACTTTAAAAGTGTGGAAGTCAGTTAATTTAAGAAACTTAATTTGGCAATGGAAAGGCAGTTTAGGATGTAACTATTGGTTCATAGGTCTAAGTGTGGCAATTGGAAGTTTGAGAACCACTTATTTTTGAGTGTGATAGACTGTATGAGAAAAGGTAGAATACATGGATACAACAAAAATAGAAAAATGAGGAAAGACCCCATACTTCTAAGAAATGCTATTGGTGGAAGTGCTCTCATTTCAAGCAAATAACAAAATATTAAGAGTTTTAAGCTAACACAATTCAGTGAATAATTTGAATTCCCTTTATCTAAAGGGAAGGATTTGTTCATGTTTGGAGAAGTCTCTTGTATCTCTCAGTGTGAGCTTATGACCTCTGTTAAGCTCTTCTTCATCGTGGTTTCATTGTTCAACCTATGGTGACCTGAGAGATTTGGAAGTTCTTTTGTGCTTCAAGTTTACAATTTTGAGATGGTGTGATGCTACTTTTGGAACCAAGGAAGAGAATAGCTTCTGTAAGTGTGGGATTTAGAGGACTTCTCCACTTTAGGGAAAGAGTATAAGCCATTGACATATATTTTTTATAGTATTCACCAGGGTGGCTTAATGCTAATAAAAGAAATCATTTCAACTGGGAATTCTGCAATGCATTTATAACACAGCATCACTGTGATAACACTCGAAACTCTTTTAATCATGTTACCATGTTTGCTTATTGCTAAAACCAGTATTTATTTCATTTTTAAAATATTTTTTTTAATGTTTATTTTTGAGAGAGAGGACAGGAGTGGGGGGAAGGAGCAGAGAGAGAATGAGACACAGAATCTGAAGCAGACCAGGCTCTGAGCTGTCAGCGCAGAGCCTGATGCACAGCTCAAACTCACGAACCATGAGATCATGACCTGAGTCAAAGTTGGACGTTTAACTGACTGAGCCACCCAGGAACGCCAGTATTTACTTCATTTTGTGCTTCAGTGTCTAGCCCACTGAAGCCAAGGGAAGTGAGAAGAGAAATTGCACTTAGAGAACTTAGACTAAAACCTTGTTTGTGTGTGTTCTTTGGGAATATTTAGATGCCAGCACCATTCTTAGGATTACCTTAGGATTCATTTGTTGCAATATAGTATATTTTGAGGCCTAGAAACATCTATAAATAAATAGAGCTCCTTTTGTGAACTTCAGTTAATTAAACATCTTTATTACCAGGTTTAAATGCTAAAGTTGAAGAAACAAACTATATTTGTAAATTAAATGTTATATATTACGTATAATATATAAACATATAAATACAAGCTTATGTAAATATAAGCAAACTATATAAAATGTTTTGTATTATATATAATACATGTAAACATTTGCATATATGTGTATATGTATATGCTTAGACTATATCTGCTAAAGTAAATTGTGACCATGGAAAGGAATAGATTCAAAAATTAGGAGAGAGGGGTATCAAAATGCAGTTAAAGCTTTTGCCTAATGGTATCTCCATTTTTATTCTTTTAGGTAAGCAGAATTTTATATAGTTTCTGTACAGCATTCAAACGTTCTTCCAGACAAGTGTCTGATGTTAAAGACTCAGTTATTCCTACCCCTGACAGTGACGTGTTTACCTTCAGTGTCTCCTTGGAGGTAAAAGAAGATGATGGAAAAGGAAACTTTAGGTGAGGTTATTTGGGAAGAATAAAAGTTGGTATTGTGCCTGAAATATAGTATTGGCTAACATAAAGCTTCCAGAGGCTATACAATGTTGGTATAAAGCTTTAAAATGATAAAAAGAAATATTTGGCAGGTGAATGAATGTTTCATTATTCTCATGCTTTCAGATACTTTATGTAAAATATTTTCTCCATATTTATGAATAGTGATATTATAGAAAATTGTAGTAAAATAATAATAAAAAGCTATACTTTTGTCAACCACAATCACTTTTAATACTTGATTTATTCCCTTTGTTTATTTCTAAGGGGTATTTTTATACAGTTGTATATACACAGGTTTTTTTTTTCTTTTAACTTTATTATGTAAGAATTTTTCCATTAAAATGTTCTTAATTAAAATCATTTTTAATAGTACCAATAATATATTGGGTGGTTTGATCATCATTTAACCATTTTATTCTATTGTATATTTAGAATGTTTTTCTCCTGTTCACAGATAGACAGGTGATAGGATATAGTTATGCTCTTTAACAGCCACTTATGTGCCTTTAATTCTTTAAAAAAAAATTTTTTTTTAACGTTTATTTATTTTTGA